CGAGCCCTTTCATTTATAGGGTAGCCGAATCGGCAGGGCAGGAGGGGGCAGCTGGCAGAGCCTTTCCATCAGAATGCGAGGTGCATTGCCTAGTGTGATTCTGAGGTTTAAAAAAATCAGGTGGCTTGCTTAGTTCTTGAAACCCTTGTTTATCTTATTGGGAGAAGCCTGGAACAATCACACCTGCAGTTTGTGGTGAGGTCTGACAGTCACAGGGACAGCTGGCTGCTCAGAGGTTCTGTAAATAAGACTAAAAGGCGCTAAACATGAGCTTGGGCTGTTGAGTTTAAATTCGTACTTCAGAACACTTCAGCTGTGGTGTTTCCATCACCCTTCTCCCAGGCTCACAAGCAGAGCTCCTTATGGCACCTAAGGTACGTACCCCTCTTCCAGAATGAGACAGTCTGTTCCAACTCAACCCATTAATATGTCAGATGCTCCCACGTAGCCTATCACTGAACTTAAAACAGGAAATAGCTAGGGTCTTTCATATACCAGGTGCAGGGATGCTCTTGTAGAGACTGACTTGAGATCTGCGTATCTGGACTTAGTCAGGTGTGATCTTCACTCCATTATTTGTCAGGTTGAATGGCACACTGCATATCCTTTATGGGGAAGACGTCAGTATGAGTTATTATGCACAGAATGGCACAGGTACAAGTTTGAGGAACTGGCTACGTGAATTGTAGATGGCTGGACGTTGGAATGACAAGGGAGTGTGTGCTACGAGGAGTCTAGGAGTGCTTTGGTGTATAATGATATAAAGGTGGCAAGAGATCTCCACTGAGGTTGATGAAATGTTAATGTTTACTTGATTGTTCTGATTTTCCTCATTGTGTGGTTCAGAGGAACCTTAAAAGCTGTTTGTGTGGTTATGCATCGGGGGTAGAAATCAGAACATTTTTGTTGCTAAACAAATCTCACTTGTTTTCCACCTGAATGCATTCTCCTAGAAGAGTTCCCAATCTCAGTCTTCCTACGGCTGAGTACAAATAAAGCTTTTAAGTTCTCAATTCTACTGCCAGAGACAAATGGGAACTGCCTGGCATAGTATGGAAAACATGGCTGATGGAAAATGCTTGGGATGGTAATTTACTGGATTTTATGCCTTTGTTTTTATAGGCAGGAAAAATATTGTTGTTTTACAAAGACCAGCACAAGCAGATAATGAGCAGGTTTTTTATATGGAGCATAGTCCTGGTAAGTAACATTTGTCCTTAGTGAATTCATGAGTAATTTAAACTGCATTAACAAGCACATGTATTCATGCAGCACAGCCTTTCTATTTCTAAGACGTGTTGCAATGAACAGTCCATTGCAACTCTAAACTCTTACTATTTCAGGGGATTATTTCTGCTATCTTGACCAAATGCTCTAAAGATGAAGGGTTTATTCCTGTAAATAAGAATCTGTGGTAAGTAGAGACGTGACTTTTTACTGTTCAATGTGTATGTATCCATATCTGGAGACGATTTAACTACATCAATATCTGTCTAGATGGCATGTTCTCTACTAGCCTTTTAAATTCCCACTGAAAATATGTAGGTCGGTCTCCTATGTGACAACCCTGAGCTGCTTTGCCTTCATGCTTTTATTGCTGATATACTACCTTGTGGATGTCAGAAGATGGTGGTCGGGTGCTCCATTTTTCTACCCAGGTGAGTAAACTCAAGCATCTTTATTTAGTTATCTGTGATGTAATAGGTGGGTCAGTTTGTCCTCATCAGTACAATTAAGGAGCTGGCTCTGTTGCCACATCAAGCAGTTGGACCTATTGCTCAGTTGTTTCTCTTCAAAAGTTTTTCATTGCAAAAATATTTGATTAGTTTATGGATCTTTTAATTTTTTAAAAAACCCATGTCTGTACAGCACAATGAACATGTAGCTAATAAAACCTCTGTTCCTATTGGGTTCCTGGGGAGACTTATTACTCACTCGTTAGCTGTGGAGTCAGAGGGTTAAAATGACTTATTCAGGGCCACATGGCAAGCCAGTAAAAGCATTACTGCTTAGGGTTTCCTGGTTCTTTTTCCCATAAATATTCTGGCCTCTGCTGCTATAGTTTGGTCTTGCAATGCAATGAGTGTAGAATTGTTTTCTCTGAAGCTACTGTCCATGTTTACTTTAAGGAATGAACTCAATCCTGGTCTACGTTGGGCATGAAGTATTTGAGGACTATTTTCCTTTTAAGTGGAAGATGAAGGATAGTCAATCCCACGGGGAGCACTTAGCTCAGAACCTGCTTGCAACATCCATCTGGGTCATCATATCGTATTTACTCTATCGGAAAAGAATATTCTGGAAAATCTAATTGCGTTCCTGAAGGTCTCTTCTGGGAGATAAGGTGTTGAAGTTGGACTTCCCAGGGATCACGCCATTTCTGCTGGGATTTCATTACTAAAAGGGATCACGTGTGCACTAATTATTTCCAGGGAAACCAGGCTGAGACTTTCTGGTGCTTAAGGGACTGCATCTTACTATTTAGCCAAAGCACTGTAACTTGCCTGAGCTGTGTTGTTTGCCTGTCTCTGCATATTATATTTTGGTGCACAAAGCGCTGCTAATCTACCTACAATAGACAGACAGACTGCATAGCCCTTCAACTCTGGACAATTTTAAGACAGTTCCAATAAGCTGAAGTGCCTTTCCTAAAGGGAACTGATACAGGTGCTCTGCCTTATGGTTGTATGTCGGACCCAGCATTTCAAGCCATTACAGACTGACTTGCTATGGATCTTGTAGATGGCACCAGACCAATGGCATAGTTTTATCCATAATAACTAGATTTACTTCGAGGGCTTGAGCCTTCTTCCAAAGCAACAGTAGCGAGGGCTCCACTCGAGGTAGGGCCCTTCAGTTGCAGTTTTTATTTTGTCCTGGGAATTTCAGTGTTTGTTTACAACAAACAGGTGAAATCTGTGCAAAAAACTTCATTTTTTCTGGGAAAATATCAGATTTATTTGGGTGGATGGAAAGACGGGAAAAAGTATGCTTTTGAATTCTATTCATCAATGTGGCTTACTACAGAACTCAAAACACAGTGCCACCTTGGATTTGTGAGAGTCTCTCAAGTCCCTACATAAAACTTTTCATTTGAATAATTTTTCTATTGTAGATTTAGAACGATCAGTCTATAACTATTTACATTTAATAACTGGACTACATTTGCAGCACAAACAAAAACATGAAGTTGAGCAACTTTTGAACATATATCCCTGTGTTCTGATCATTTTCTTCCTATTTTAGTGGGCCAAGTTTTTAAACCATTATTTGCTAACAGCTTGAAATATGTATGTGGCAGATATGAGATTCACTGTGTGTGTGTTCAAATGCTCCTGCAATTCAGAGCTTGTGTACGTGCCTGTTTGTTCATTAGGTGTGTCTTCTAGACTATTACATTGCCTTACTTCAACAGGCAGCTTTGCCTATACATACAGGCTAATAATGTATTCGTGTAGTACAAAAATCTCATGCAAGGTGTTGTATTTTCATAAAACAAGGGATTTTTTTATATATGTATGAATACCAAAGTATGGTGAAAATTGGAAAAAAACCTGAGTACTTTATAAAAACCTGAGATTTTTTTTCCCCAGTTAATACCAGTTTACACTGAAAACAACGGGGCTTAATTATATGGGAGCAGGATTCAGACCTAGCATGAAGACAAACCAGATTAAATAATTTCGATCTAACATCAATGACATAAGCAAAGTCTGATGGTTCCACCAAGTTTTTATGGCCATTCCTGGCCCTGTCATATCTTACTTCCTTTTTAATGCTTCTTTCCAATTGTACCAGAACTCTAGCATATTGGAAGTTACACAAACATTCTACTTCACAAAAGAAGAATTTTCAAAATGATTTATTTATAAAAGGTTTGTCTGACCTACCAGCGTAAGAGAAAGTTAGTTTATATAATCCAGGACAAGCAGCAAAGACTGAGTCCCAGAACATCGTCAACATGATTATTTTACAACAGTCCCATTGCTACAGCAATGCTGCGTTTAGAGTCTATAAATATAGCCCTCTTTGCTTTCTCAGCAAGACCTCCTGTTACACTGTCCATGCCCCTCAAGATAGTGTCTGAAGTAATAGTATCTTCTCATTAATGCAGAATCTGTGTAATACCACCATCAGATTCTCTCCGCAGCGTGAGACCTGACGCTCCATAGCCAAGCGGAAATCCTCTTTCACCCCTTTGGTTATTCCCCGGGTTACTGTGTGATGCCTAAAGTCATCAAGGAAACAAAAGACGACAAAAGCAAAAAATTGATCTGAGCAGTAGACTTCCAAGTTGTGCTGTGTATATTAAGGCCCAACGTATAACATCTACCTTTCATATCTGAACTCATTGGGGGAAGAGTGGCCATGTTTTCTAACCCAAGAGGCAGTGTATGCCTTATATCTAGTATCAAAGTGAATTCAGCACCAAGTCAGATAATTAGTTTCCTGTGCCACTAATTCTCTGTGGAGTTGTCGGACAGCTTCCAGGCGGTGATCAAGTCCAAGACTAGTACTTGGCAAGCACACCAGTTCTGGTACTGCTGCAACTAATGTGGTTCTAGCTCATGTGATATCAGCTGTTAGCCTGCTACGCTGAGGTCTCTATTTGCTCTGGCACCTCAACCACCCACTTCCCTTTACACCATTTCAAAACCCTACTGTCCTGAACTGACACCCATGCTCTAACCCTTGAGCCTGGGATTTCAAGCATTACTGGCAATGGGCTTTTTGGATAGGACATAGTCTGCCTGGAGGGAGCTGCTGTCTAGCAAATGCCTCAGCGTAAGTTGGCTCAGTCAGCGAACTGCTGGAGTTCAGAGTACAGGGAGGGACTGGGAGCAAAATCAATTAAAGTGAGGAAAATTGGGGGAGGGATCAGCTAAAAAGAATGATCCAGAAATTAAACCCCCAATGAATCACTGTCCTAAACCAAACCCAACTATTTAAATATTTTCTCCTATACTGAATATCTGCATCAACAAAATCACTCCTCTCAAAGCAGAGAGAAAACTTCCTCAGCAGTTACATTAAAAATAGAGTATTTTAAACATTACACAAATAGCATTTGGCTCTGCTAGAACACTGCTTTGAGGGAACCAATATCCAGACATCAACTTAATATAGTGGACAATGACTTTAAGATGGAAATCTTATGACCCTAATGCCAATGGGAGGCAGGTGCTAAAATGCGAACCAGCGGTACTGAACATTGTTTTTGGGACAATCCTGCTTTCCATTCTCATTCCCTCACAAGCCTTTATAACAGCTGCGAGCTACACACACTGGTCTATGCTATAGACCTAGATCAGTGTCACCACCTCGCTCAAGGGTGTGAAAAATCCACTCCACTGAGAGCAACAGCGATACTGACCCAAGGCCCCGGCCGTGGGAGAGCTGCACGGACACAGCTGCCACTTCTCAGGGAGCTGCAGTAACTAGGGTGACAGGAGAAGTGTGTGCCCCATTGTAGTAGCTCTGTGCTATGTCTACTGCTAAAACTACAGCCACTCAGCTGCACCACTGTTCAGCAGTTCAGTGCAGGCACTCCCTGCTGTGTTGGGAGGGGTGCTGGAGTTGTAGTTCATCCGCCTCTCCCAGGAGGGAGCTAGGTCGATAGAACTCTTCCGTGGACATAGTGCTGTCTGCACCAGGCATCAGGTCGGCTT